ACTAGCCAGTCAAATTTGAGTTTCTCGCGCGTGCAGGCTTTGTCTTGCTAGCCAGACTTAGCAACTTGAACCCTAAAAAACCAAAACATTATATCCCTCTCTATAATGTACCAAATGCATCAAAGTTTGAATCAAAGTTGAAGGGGAAGCTTCAAACTTCAACTTTGATGTTGATTATTTATCCAAATAATGAATGTCTTAAAGAGAAAAATGATCATGAACAAGTGTCTAGAAGTTGTTTGATGAAAGTCCAGAGTAAAATGCCTGACATTTGAAAATTACAATCATAGAAATGATCCAACTTTTTCCAACCATAACTTGATCAATTCTAAACCAATTGAGGAGTTCATTATATGCTTGGAAAGGTATTGATACAAAGAATATCTTTATGTTAGAGGAAAATTGAATTAAAGACTGAATCATGAAGAAAAATGGCTTGAAAGTCAAGAAGTTGGAACTGAATACAAGGCATAAAAATTCTCTAAGTCCCAAACATTAACTCTGAATGAGTGCACCTTTTCTTGCTCAAATATCTTGAAATCCAAATACCTTTTAGAGATAAACCCTCTAGGACAAAAATTATGTATGCATTTCCCTTTTTCCAAAGACTATGAGTTTGCACATTTCTGATTAAAAATGAAAAAGTTATGGCTTTTCAAAGAGTGGTGGATGAACACAAAAATTCCAAAAACTTAGAAAAAATTCTAAGTGCCCAAGAGTCAATAAAAGTCAACATCCTTGATTTCTTGATTTTTGAGATTCCAATTGGACAAATCTCACCCGTTGAAATTTTTTGACTTATTGAATACCTTATTGACCATAAAAAGTCAAAATTTTACTTTTTTTACTCTACAATTGACTTTTCCCCAATTAAATTATTTTGAATTCATCCGTGCAATTGATTCTCTTCCAATAAAAATTGATGAACAATCTATCAACCATAAATGCTTAGGGACATGTAGAGAAGCATGGAATCAAGTCTTTTCTAAAAAGTCAGAGATTTCTTGATTAAATCCAAAACGCTAATTTAGGCCCTTTGTGTTAGGAGATGGTGATTAAAGCTCCAAACCCTTATTCCTTTGGACATGTTGAGAAATTTCTTGAACAAAGATGTCTCATATGATAATGAGAAGATCATACCTGAATGAATTGCTTCATACAAGCATAAAATACTTTATCAATCCAAAATCCTAATATCAAGAGATGAATAGGATAATAGTGATTCACTTTAAGACTTTGCCAATTTCACACTTCTGATGAATCAATAAGACAATTGAGATATCTTGAGGTATAAGAAACCCTTATAGCTTGAGTGACTCAAAGATTGAGGGTATGAGACCCTTATTTACACTGATTGATGACACAACCATATATCATAGCTTTCCAAAGCTTTAGAACCAAAATACCTTGATCCTATCACAATACATGAATGTAAATGATGAAACATAAGCCTTTAAAATTCTAAAAACAAGAGGGTAAATTTTGGGGTACAACAGAGGGACACCAAGAGGCGCCACCCCACCCACTTCAATTGGCCACTACACATATATTTTGAATTAATGAATATCATTATGGCCATTTACCACACGTTGCAATACTAAAAAGAAAGGGATAGATGTTAAGAGCACCCACATCAGTGGGTTCCACACAAATATCAATAATACTGTGTCTGGATTTTCAGAAAAAGCATTGTGCAAGGAGATGAAAATTTATGCAGAGGTAGTTTTTTTTAATTATAAATTTACATATTCAGTTTGAATGCAAATTGTTTTTCTTTCATATTTTCTTCTACACATTTCTTGTGACAATGAATCCTAACCTTCATAATTCTTGGTCCAATTTTATACAAATGGTGGCAGTCCTCCTTTTATCCCAAATCTACAAAACACCACATATTTTGAAAATGCATCCCATAATCCAAATTCACATCGCAATCCAAATTTTCAAAATACTATTTTTATCCCAAATCCACAAAATAACACAAACTTTGGAAATTACACATATCATACAACATATTTTCCACATCAATATCAATAACTTTCATCTCAATCAACTAATCTATTATGCCTCATAAAGTTCATATGGGTATTAGTGGTGTGAAATCAAATGATCAAGATTCCGAAATACCACAATTTTGCACTCAAGATGGTTTGGAACTATCAACCTTGATGAAGATGTTGAAGCCACATCAGTTGTAAATATGCCGAAAACAATATTTCAACCAAAGGAGGATGAGCTTCTCATTCAGTCATGACTCAACGTTTCAAAGGATCCAATTGTTAGGTTTGATAAAAAAGGAGACATTTTTTGGAAGAGAATTGGCGAAGCTTATAATAAGCATCGCGACAAGATTATTCAAGAGAGGAAACCAATGACATTAAAAGGTAGATGACAAAAGAAGATTAACCCATTTGTTAATAAATTTGTTTGGTGCTATAAGCAAGCCATGAATTAAAAAAAAAGTGGGAGCTCCAAGAGCAACATTATTTCAACTACATATGATATTTATTACCAAGATAAGCATGGAAATTTTACATTTGAGAGTTCATGGAAATTATTGAAAGATGAACCCAAATTGCTTGCATGTTCATCAGAACCTTCTGCAAAAAGAACAAAGAATTCGACTTCTAGAGCATATTATTCATCTTCTAACCCTCTAACACCAACAAGTAAAGAATGAAATTCACCATCACCTCTTCTTTACATCAACCAATCGACAACAAAAAGAAAGGAGAAAGAAAAGCTACCAGAAAGATCAACACCCAATGTCAAATTTAATACTTTGCAAGACGACTTCCAAAAGAAAAATTAATTGATGTCACCATTTGCACGTGATTATGCACGTATTGAGGGTGAAAAATTAAGATAGAAAAGAATCAATGCAAAGAAACATAAGGCTGAGAGAGATATGGTAATATTAAAGATCAATGATTTGTAAATACTTTCAAAAGAAAAATCATACATGGATTCAAGACAACTACAAACTCATGAGTTATTATGTGACGTGATTAGAAGAGAATATGGACATGATTAATATGATTATGTATGTTGAATAGTTTTTAGTATATCACTAGTTATTCTTAGATTCCTATGTATTTTTATTATTCAATTTGTATAACTGCTGCGAAAACCAATTGTTGAAGATATCGAACGTCTGTTGTAAATGAGGGAGGCACGTGGTTTTCCAGGTATATTGGAGAGCATTGATTGTATGCATCGGGAATGGAAATTTTTTTGAGTTGCTTTGAAATGGCAGTACGTTCGAGGTGATCATGGTAAGCCTACTGTTATGCTTGAAACAATCACTTCACAAGACTTATGGATCTGGCATGTGTTCTTTGGGGTAGCTAGTTCACATAATGATATCAATATGTTGAACCAATCTGATGTCTTAAACGATGTTATGCAAGGGCGAGTTGCTGAGGTCCATTATTTAGTTAATGATATTGAATACAACATGGGTTATTATCTATCGGTTGGTATTTATTCAGAATGTACAACATTTGTGAAAAGAATCTCATTGCCACAAGGGGATAAGAGAAAATTATTTGCCCAACATCAAGAAGGTGCAAGAAAGGATATCGAACGAGCATTTTGAGTTCTCCAATCCCGATTTGCAATCATACGGAACCCATGTCGACCTTGACACTTGGATCAACTGGAGTGTATAATAGATACGTGCATCGTATTGCCCAACATGATTGTTGAAGATGAACGTGTCACATATGGTGGCAATTTTGTTTATTCTTATGAGCATTTAGGCAATGACCCGACTGTACCACCAAATGATTCTAATAATAATTTGCAGGAGTTTCTACGCATAAGACATCATATTTGCGACAAGGAAATTCATCGACACATTCAACAAGACTTGATAGAATATATATAGAAATATTTTGGACATGAGAATAACCATAACTAAAAATCATTTTAAATGTTTAATATATTTTCTGCTACTACTTTGTTTAACATTTATGAATTTTTCAATATATTTTCTTATAACTTATTTGTGTTATTTAGAGCATTATTTAAATAAAAAATTTACTTATTTAATTTTGAATATTTTAATTTATTTTAAATATATATTATTCTCTTTTTAATACATTTTGATATGATTAAATTAATTTATTTTAATTATATATTTATATATTAAAGAAATATAAATTTTGAATATATTATATAATTAGTGAGACTCGTTTTAAAATTTTAGATGAGTGTTATAGATATTTAAAAATATAGTTTAGTAATTTAAATAATTAGAAAATGTAAAATAATATATTATATTAAGTGGAGTCCATTTTAACCACCAAATTTAATGATATAGATTTGAATACTCTAAGGATATATTTGTATTAAGGTTTAAAATTATGTTTATTATTGGAATGATATTTGATGATGATTATTTTAGAAATATTATTTTGATGTGTTTGGTAGAAATTTAAATTTTTAGAGAATGATGATAAAATTTATTTAATTTAAAATTATAATTAAATAAAAATAAAAATAATGTGGATGATATGAGAAAGTTATAATTAATTGAATTTATTTCCATAAAAATGTTACATTCTCATTCTTTATTTCTTAGAATAAAATGAGAAGAAGTGTGTGTAAATAATATTTAAAAAAAAAAAAAAAAATTTAATATAATTTTTTAAAATTTGAATTTAACATGAAAATATTACATTTGTCCCTCTCTCTCACACTCAACAAAGAAAACAGTATCGGACCCCGCGCCGGGAATCGCCCCATGGTGGCGGCGGTGTACATCCCCAGAACCGAAATCCAACACTCTTCATACTAATTTCTACCTTCTAAACCCGTTTCTAGCCTCAATTTCACGAAATAAGCATCCTAAATCCCGCGATCCCCTCACCTGAATCGAAAACCCTAACTTTCTAAAAGCAAAATTAGATGACAATGGTGACTCTAACTGATACACAACCTTGGGGCTAGTGATTATTGAAGGGACGCGCACAGGATGGTGAAGAAAAATCGAGCAAATGATTGTAACTCAAAGCTTAAACCACTCTTTTATTTATCAATTATCACTCCTTCCCGACTTCAAAAACCACGCGCAGTCTAATCTTTTTACAACCTCAACACCAAACTCCCATCTCAAGTTACCCTTCTCTCGTGAGGGTAATTACGATGAAGCCACTTCCCAATCTCTTCATGTCTGCCCTGGTTGTGGGGTTTGTATGCAAAATTCCAACCCAAAACACCCTGGTTATTTCATTAAACCATCTGAGAAGGACCTGAATTATAAAATGTACACCCATCTTGAACCTGTTGCAGCAGAGCCCGAATGTACACCCATCCAATGCTCATTGTCACCGACAAGATTCGAGCATTGGATTAGGCAAAGAGCTAGAGAGGGTGGTATTGTTAAGATTACTAGTTTGCATATGGTGAGCGCGCTCAGAGATTGGGGACTTAAGAATCTTGTGGATGATATTGTTGGTTTGGCTGGATCTAGAAGGAGTGTGTGGACTGTCGGCGCACAGAATGCAGGAAAGAGTACATTAATTAATTCTATAGGAAAGCATGTTGGAGGGAAGATTACACATCTGACAGAAGCACCTGTTCCGGGTACCACACTCAGCATTGTCAGAGTCGAGGGTGCTCTTCCAAGTCAGGCAAAATTGTTTGATACGCCCGGCCTTCTCCATCCTTACCAGATTACGACAAGGTTGTTGTGGGAAGAACAAAAGCTTGTTTACATGACCAAGGAGTTGAAACCTAGGACATATAGAGTTAAGGTTAGTGCACTGAAATACCAATTTGTGTCGCTGACTTTGATATTATTATTTACATATGTATGCTCATTTGCACGCTCTAGTGTTGTTTCATCTTTTGTGTCTTGTTAAAATCTTATGTGTTTCATTCTTATACTGATTAATTGTGGTAGGCTGGTCATTTGATTCACATAGCTGGTCTTATGAGATTAGATGTAGAAGAAACGTCTCTGGATACTATCTATGTTACGGTATGGGCATCTCCTTATCTTCTTCTGCATATGGGTAAAGTAGAAAATGCAACTAAAATGTTCCAAGAACATTTTGGACACCAGTTACAGGTATTTTCTTTGCCATTTTAATTAACTAGTCATTTTAAGCAATATCTAGATATTCAATTGCCATGATACGCTGCTTATGTTGGTGTAGTTTTTATGCGTTGATAGAGTGCTTGTTGATATCTATCTATGTTGCAAGAAAAGACGCAAGTTTCTCTTTTGATTCATAGGCGTTATTCATTGTGCAATACAATTTCCTCTCGTATAACACCGGTCTGAATTTTCATTTGTTCAGCCACCTATTGAAGAGAGACGAGTCGAAGAATTGGGGAATTGGGTGAGAAGGGAATTTCATGTTGGTGGAAACAGTTGGGACTCGAGTTCTGTAGACATTGCTGCTGCTGGCCTTGGTTGGTTTGCCATTGGACTTGAAGGAGAAGCTGTGTTGGGTGTTTGGACTTATGAAGGAGTTGATGTTGTTCATCGAAATTCTTTGATACCCTATAGATCAAATACTTTTGAAGTTACAGGATTTACCGTATCGAAGATTGTCTCACAGTCTGACCGAGCTTCAAATAAGCCACGTCAACAAAATGACAAGAAGACAAAGTGGATTGAATCAAAACCACTATCCAGTTCAGTTGAATCAGCACTATTGACCTCTGAATGAGGCATATAATAATGATGTCATTTTTACTTTGAAACTTTTGACTGCCTTGATGTTGTGAAGCTTGGACTATGTTTGATGCGTTTTGTGTTGCGATAGGTACAACACCATTCTCAGCATTTTTCAAAGCATCATCTAGGTCACCAACTGGAAAAAAATCATTCAGAATCTGGATGAAGATTGGACAGGGCACTAAGGTTAAGATTCAGGAACGCTGAGCAACGATACCGAGGACATTTCACATTCAACCTGAGCCACTTGCCAATGCACTTAGCGTGAACATTGTGTGCACAAGGTAAGTCACAGACCTTTCAGTCTTGATATTGTTTATAAACCTTCCATATCCCTTCAATGTCCAAATAATCACTTCAAACTCTTTGTCAAGTTGTGTATTGATGGTTGTGACTTGGTAATCTTGAGATCACTTGTTTTGGAGGTTCAATTGTTTTTCTTCTATGCTTTAAACCTTGAATACTGTATGCCGTTTTGTACTGATGTAAAGGCTTGGGGCTGAAGTGTAGCATGTTGAAGTTGCTTGAGAATGGGCAGAACTTGTCTGACATTTATAATGGCTGCCCTGTATGTTGACCTTACATTGAATGTCTTCGAGGTTTCTTTTGAAATTTGCATTATGCCTCTGAATTGTGTTTGGAGTATAAACTGAATATGTGATTCAAGTATGTTCAAATTGTTTGGATTTTAATACTTGGACTGTTTTGAATAAGTCATGGTATGTTAGTTTTCCCTTGATTTTAAACCTTAATTGCTTGTAACTAGCACCATGATACTTGGCGAAACTTTTCAACTTTGAATTGCTTTGAATTTGGTTTTGATGCTTTGAGTAATGTCATGACTCATAATGTTTGCACTAATATGGAGTTGTTGTTTGTCATTGCAGGCTAAAAAGAAGAATAGCAGCACGGTGAATGAAGTGGATTGAATTCAGCATTGAAGAGAAATAGGTCAATAAGGGGTTGTACTTGTGACAACTTGTGACAAAATGACAAACATATTTGTGGTTGTACTTGAATATATACTTTACTTCAAAAGTTAAGTCTTCTTTGCGTTTACTTTGAATTCAAAAACAAGTGAACTTTTAGTTTTGCACTATGGGCTCATAGAGAATGGAATGATTACTTAAACCAGGGTAACAAAATTGTCTTGATCAAATAAAAGGCAAGTCTTAAACATTATGGAATTATGACTCAAAATTCTTAAAAACACCTTAACTCAAACCACCTAAAAATGACTAAAAAGAAAAAGTAAACATGGTTTTCTTTCAATATGACTGTGAATTCCACATTTGAATGAGAGTAGCTATGTGTAGTCTAAATTGCAATTCAAATGAACATGATTTATTAATCACATGGACTAGGTGGAACGCAAAAAATTGTAACAATGCATCATCGAGTGAAATTCTAATGAACTTAGACCTAAGTAACATTTTCACTATGCTAAACTCAAATCGAAACATGCATAATGAATTCTCAAGTGAACCTAAAACCTCACGTCGATATTAAGATGGGAAAGCCATAATGTAGTGATGATTGTAACGAAACCCAACCCATAAATTTTTTTGGACAAAATTAGAACGTGACACCACCATTCATTAGAGTCTAACTAACACCACCATCTATTAAGTGAAGTCAATTTTTTAAATATAAATATTTATCTTTTTTATAATTAAATTATATTATAAATAATAAAATAAAATAATTATTTTTTCTAAAATCAAATTATATTATAAATAATAAAATAAAACAATCTCAAATAATTCCACACTTATATTTCAAATATTTTAAATAATAAAAATAAATTAAAATATCAAAATAATTATCACATATTTAATATTCTAAATTATCAAAACTAAATAATAAAGTACATAATGAAATAAACGAGGCAGGTCCGGGATAAGTACAAGTGTCTCCATTACTCGACTCCACTTCATATTTTGCAATTGTAGAAATTCAAACCTAGTCAAAGCAGATTTTTTTCCCGTCAAATTTAGAACGGATTCGGGTGGATATCCGCAGGTACGACTCATGTTGTCATGCCTATTAGAAAGCCCTCAATGGTTGAGCAATGGAGGGGGTAAGGATTAAGAGAATTTCTTATGGCATCCTATATAGGGGAAAAATACACAATGTAAAACCAAAAATGCCTTCCGGAAATGTATTTCTGGGACACACCTTTTTTAAAAAAAAAATCAAGTATGAAACCGGAAATGCAACTACCGTTTGGTACCGGATATACATATCCGGTTCCTATAAAGACAATTCAGACCATGTTTTTATGTAGGTTTTGGTGCATATATACGTAATAAAATACATAGTAAAACACGATATCGATTAGATACGAAGTAATCACAAAATACGTACAAATGCTCATAAATATTATGTTCCAAAATACGATACACAAAATATCCAAATAATCCAAAATATGAAAAACATAATAATACTATAAACAAAATCCAACTAAAACTATCAGACTACTGAATATGACAGATAATGAGTCGGCCCGTGATATTCGCGACATTCCTCCGCTATCGTCTGTAACACAGAGCCTCCCCAGCTTCTGCCATGATGGTATCTAAAACACCTCTAACATCATATCCATCAGGAAACAAATCCCTATCAATATGTACATGCGCGATCTGCATGATATGATGACACCTAGGCAACACATTAGGCATAATTGGCTTGTGTCTGCTCCTCCTCTAGAATCTCTGCATGTGTTGGCCTAGGTGGGTTATCTGGAGCCTCATGTACCAAATATAGATGTGATAGTTTGAAGAACCATAAGATATATCCATCCTCATAGCTCAAATCTTTTGATGCTATGGTACTTCGGACATCATCCGACAAGAGATGGTTAAGATAATCATCAAATATGTCATTCATATCCCTCTGTTTCACCATGGGAGGGGCACACACATAGGATGATCTGAGAATATGTTGCATGTATCTGAACTGTTGCATCACGCGCTCAGGCAAATAAGCAGCCGTCTTGCACGTCTCCCATGCCAACCACCCAGTGAACAACACAATGTCGTCAAAGGAAATCGTCTCACAGTGATCCTCGTATGCATGAAAGCATATATCCTCATAGGCCAAGCGATCTATATACACCTTGAATGGCTTGTCGCCTGGTTCCTCCGGAGTGGGCCGAATGAAGCGGCACATGGCTAAACCTCAGTATATGTATGATCAAATGACCATCCAGATATGTGAGGGAAGTGTTATAGGATCTAGGCCTGAAATGTTACTGTCATTAATAAGTAACAGCATCAAAGCCTCTAGTTGTGAAATTCTACAACTAAAACATCATCAAAGCCAATCTAAACAAAGAGTATCACGAAAAATATTTACTTTGACAAGAGTAGATGAAGAATAACGAAGGTAGAAGGAGAACACACGTCAGATTCTGCGGCGGCGTTGAAAGTGGAAGGAAACGACACGACGTTGGCGATAGGGAGAGTGAAGAGCGCGAGAGTGTACACGTGAATAATGGGACTTGGGAAATTATATATATAGTTGGCGTGAAATGTGAAACGTCGCGTCGGGCAGCTCAACAACTGCCTTTCTCCTCGACACCTACATGCTCAGCTAATGATGACCCTTACTCCCTAGGCCATCATTACAATCCGAAAGGCCACGTCACATGCCTACACCCTGCAGGTTTCTCCTCCCCGCGACTAAAATACTCCCATCTTGAGTCCATTCCAAATGCTGCTCGAGTAAACTCATATATCAACGACTTTCTCCGTCAACACAATAACAGATCCTCGTCGAGTAGCCACCTCGTAAAAGAAAAAGTCGAACTTAAGTCATAACTCCTTCATCAGGAGCAACGACTTGGGGGGCTCCTGTTCTGGACTGGACCTGCCCTTGACCCAACTCCATGCGTGGCCCAACCCAATTATATCGGTCAAGGCATATTGGCCAATTCTACCCTCGACTTCGTCGGCCAGCAACTTCCACTTCCCGCAAAGAGGCAACCTCACCACACGAGAATAAACTCAGTCGGTCCTAGGAAGATCATCGCCGGTCAGGAGGACCTCGAGGTCACCCTCTGATCCTCTCCCCGACCAAGACTGATCCCCTCACACGACCTCGCGTCTGGCGGGAAACATCCACGACAAACAGAAATACCTCACGAGCATCTCCTCGTAGGGCTAACTGTCAACGTCTTTGAATACCGCAGAGTCTTTGTGGCCCCGAAAAGACCACATCTATATCCTCCTGATCTTGCAGAGGAGGTCATCCAGGTGTGGGACCACGTGCGGGTCCCCACTACTCACGTAGGACCTGACAGTCTCCATTTTGGGCCTGCTAGACCAGCCTAATAAGGAGACCTTGACCCAATATTGGGGGCTATAAATACCATCTCTTTCGAAAGGATCAGGTATTGAATGTCTCTTACTCTCTTACTTGCTTGCTCATTCTGAATCTCAATTTGGCATCAAAGTGTCTTGCAGATACCCTTCACCTCACTTTTGCTTGACGTAAGCTGTGACAGTCCATTCTGGTTAGGTACGATCACTTCCCTTGTCAAAATGAAGTAATTTAATTTAGGCAAAATACCTTTTTTAGTCCTTTAAGTTTACCCCAAGGTCCATTTTGGTCCTTTATCTAAAAAAAGTGTCAAACTGGTCCTATAATTCTTTCAAAAGGACCATAGGAGTCCTTTCCGTCCATTTTGGTCCTTTTTGGTTCAGCCCATCCTTCTTTATTTCAATTTGTAACTCCATTATCTTATGTTTCAGCCCATCCTCCCTTTCCTTTAGATGATGTATCTCCATCAAGCTCATTTTGCAGCTTCTCCAATGAACCAAAAAGGACCAAAATGGACGGAAAGGACTCCTATGGTTCTTTTGAAAGAATTATAGGACCAGTTTGACACTTTTTTTAGATAAAGGACCAAAATGGACTTTGGGGTAAACTTAAAGGACTAAAAAGGGTATTTTGCCTTTAATTTATCAATTTGGCAATCTTAATATAGGAAATTCTTGGCTAAACAAATTTCATCCAAATTATTTCATATGGCTATGGAATTTGACTCCATGGACTAACCAACTCTTAGCACGATCCCTCGTAGAGTAATGGATTAATCTCCATCTGAAGGTGTCATCAATTATCCCAAATTTTTTGAAATTGCTTTCAAATTCAAGGCTGAAAATGAGAATCATCTGACATGACACCTAAGCATTATCCAATAGCTTTTAACATTTGGATCATCATAGACTTAAGTTTAAATTAGACAATTGTGATCTCTATTCTTATGATATCAGTATTCATGGCATTAGAATAAAAGATTTCATAGCATATGATGTTTCATGCTAGGTCATTGGCAATGTCAATGATATCTTTATTAGTCATAGCTTCTTCTTTCTCTTGATTTTCGACTTCAACTTGTTCTAGTTTGAAGAGGAATTCCAAACAAAAAATAAGTTTGTTGAAATCTCCTAAAAATTTTTAATGTTCTTTCTTACTATGGATCTTCCCTGTATTTTGGAGAAATCAACTTGCACGTGCATGAAGATAAAATGAAGACAAAAGAAAAGGGAAAAAAAAAGCGATGTTGGTGTTTAAGGTCAAATCAATGGTGAATCATTTAATGCCATGTTGACATGATTTGCCATATCATACGCCACATATACAAATTTAACACTTTTGTTAAAAACTTAAAAAGAAATTATTAGATTAATTAATCATGAAACAAAATAAAGTTAAGGAACTAAGAGCATCTCTAACCGTGAATTCATTAAAACCAGTCAGTTTGAAACAATTCAACTAATTTTTCACTCTAATAGTACAACTTTAAATAACTCATATTAGATCCCACAACTTTACTTTATGTATTAATATTTTATTCATATTAAATTTATATCATTTACAATAATAATTTTAATTTAAATAATTATTTAAATTAAAAGTGATATAAAATAAATTAAATTTATAATTTTAAAATATATGATAAATTGAAGGCTAATAAAATGAAATTATAAGAGAAAATTTTAAAATATTATGACTAAAATGAGAAATAAAATTAGAGAGAAAATATGAGTATAAAATTTTTCATTTGGTTCTAATTTATAACCAAATAAATTATTAACATAAAAAAAAGTAAAATTAGCTAGATGTACTGGCTAATTTTATCTTTATTAATATTTTTATTCAAAATTACTGTTGCAGTGTATTGTAACGTTGACCAACCTGACAGACTCCAACGAAATTATTTTTCAATGCACCTTGTGATAGCTGACGAATTAGACAAAGAAACTTGCCGCTGGAGCTGCTCTAAAACAATTAAGAAAAAGAAAACAAAAAAAATAGTACTATATTTTTTGGGAATCTCAATTCAAGCATGTACTATCTCTTACTAACTTGTATGGACAAGGTGCTGTCGACTTTGTAGCAGAAGAAGTAAGGAACGAAAATATACAATAAAAGCATGATAATTTCATTTGCTGTATATTTTGATTGGTGAGGGAGTTGTCCAATTTACACAAACCAAGTACGTACCTGACTAATAATAGCTTACAACTTCAAAAAAGCACCAAACTTTTTAAACAAGTGTTTATCATTTGAGAAAAAAGTAGCTGACAATTGCATGCAGTAGTTGGTCAATGAACACTCTCAAGAGGAAACCCTAGGTTGCTTGCATCCGTGCTCCGGTAAGAGGTTACCAGCTGCAGCTCTTTTTGGTTTCAACTGCAATGAAAAATGGCCATATGCAGCCGTTAGACCCCTATATGGTCACGAGTTAGGTGTAACTCAACCCTACAAAATCGACTTGTAAATTGAGGATTGTCTCAATTTATAAACACATGTACCGGTCATATATTATCCAATGTGAAACTCTTAACAACTTTCAAAACTAACCTTTTCCCGAGCATGCTGATAAATGTGCCTTAGGAGGATATTTTTGGCTTCAGTGTTTATCACTGTCAAAAGAATTTTCCACAGGTTAGCAAACCCTCAATTACAGAACCCCATATAAATCAAAAGAATTATCCTGACAGAATATTGGCAGCACACATCGGCGTAATAAAAGAAGAAAACTACAAGCGCGGCTAATAGGATATGTTTGGTTTGAGGAAATATTTTCTGTTTTCAACTATTTTCCTTCAAATAATGATTTGGAGAGAAATGAATAATCCAAAGGAAAGATGCAAATTTCAAATAGATAATAAATCAAATAAGAAATGTGAAACGTTAATGCGAAAGTGGAAGAAGAAGAAGAAGGTTCTTGTGACTACCTTGATCAGGCGGCGGAAGGGTCCTGCTGTGAGTAGGATGGTAAGTAGCTGGTGTCTTCTGCATGAAAATAGAAGTTTCATTTCAACAAAGAAAATGAAAATATATGAATAGGTGATCCCATTGTATGCGTCTGAACAGAAGGAGTAGGGAACTGAATATAAAAAATCAGGCCCTGAAAAACTTATTTTAAAATAGTTAAATTTAACTTTACAAACGAAACAGAAACAACACACACCACTGTTCCAAAATGGTTTGTTCCTTACTTGGGTTGGAAAAAAGGTAAGGAAAAAGTGTGATCCATTTAGAATGTTTGACTTCAAGGTCAAATCTTTCAACTTTAAGTTTTCTAGACAAATACAATTGATTAGAGGAGCATATTTTATATCCTTCAGCAAAGATCTCAATTCGCAAAAGCTCACAGCTCATTATATGGGTAATAAGGTCATTTGCTAGTAATGTGTTCAGCAAATCTATGGAAAAGATAACAGCAACTATAATCATCAGATCATATGAAAACGAACTAATTTTGTGGCAGGGTATCACGGAGACTGATACGACTGAAATCCATGGAGAGATTTTTTTATCGATAGAAAAGAAAATTAAGTATAATTCTAGTTTGTCAACTAACTAGCCCAAAAGGAAGAATGCTTTTCCTTGAAGATGGAAAATTTGTCTACCAGAAAATAGAACTAAAACTCTACTGTTATTGAAGAATTTATCTAAGTAACAATATTGGAAAAGAAAGCCAAATTTTACAGTATTAGTTTTAGAATGAAATGTTTTAAGTGTGTTTGGTTCTGCGATGAAGAAAATTGATTTTGAGTGAATTGATTTTGTAAAGTTGATTCTGGTTATAAGTGAGTTAGAGGTTAAGTGATTTATGTTAGGATCAGTGTTGTCAAATATCGATATCGGCAAATATCGGATCACCAAAAAACCGATATGAGAAATATCGGATCGCATAACGGGCAAATATCGGAAGCCACAAAGCGGTTAAAACAAAAATAAAAACTCAAAGTTAAAAACTTAAATTGAGAGAATTTGGAAGAAAAATTGCAAACGCGGCCACTTGTAGAATTTTCATGTAATGGTTGACAGAATTTCCATCCAATGTCAGCCCTTAAGGAAGGGTTTGACATTTCTCCGACACTTTCCATACTATTAACAAATGTACAAAAACAGAGGAACAAATAAAAACCCAGAACTCAGCAAATGAAAACACAGAACTTAGTATAAAAAGTAATAATAAAAATATGGCTTCCGATATTCCATTCATAATCGGTATACCGGAAAATCGCCGATATCGCAAGCATCGCGAAATTGAAATGCTATACCGGTTTTTGTATCGGATAGCCAAAATTCCGATACACAATACCGGTATACCGGATAGATAAATTCTTGCGAAATTGAGTTGAACAAAATATTTCAGTGTAAAAATCACGTTTAGCCTTAAAAACTACAAATCCTACCTTCAAGTAGAATCAATTCAAGAAAGCAGAATCAATTCGACTCAAGAGAAAACAAACATGTTAGAATCGACTCTACACATCCCGAATCAATTTTGAATGCTCCAATGAAAAATATATTTTCCTAGAGACGATGCTACATATAACAATAATGCCAACGAGTTCAACCTCGGGCCAACAACAAACTGCACCACATTGTTATTCTGCTATATGAGTTTTGATCATCCAAGTAGCTTGGAAAAACAAAACAAACTTAAATTCCTAAAGATTGCAAATAGAAGTTTCTTATCTCAATCTCTACCAAGTAAAAATAGAATGGCATGATTCAATTTTGTAGATATCAAGGAAAGCAGAAGCAACATTGTCTAATACAGATAAAAAAAAAGAAGTTGTTTGTTCAAATTCTGCTATGCAACAGAGCTATTAGCCGCTACTTAATGACATCTTATATTCAATAGCATATAGATAGACAATAGCAATATATTCAAATTCTGCTATGTGTGCTATAGCCGCTACTTAACATCACCGAGCATAACTTAATGCTAATGGTACAATTTAGTAAAGGTACATATGGCAACAAAACGAAAACACAGAAACAGGATCTACCGAATTGGAACGATACAGCATAAACTTGAATACTTGAATGAACTCTATCATGATTTTCAGATAACTACAGTTTTATATACTTGAATAAATATAAAAGAAAAACAACAACTTACAGAAGAACTAGAAGGATCTGAAGGTCGAATCTGACTGAAATTATGAGGGTTATAAGATGGCAAATTACCAAGCACAGAATCCATATAGTGGTACCTATTTGCTCCAAATTTCAAAAGGCACAAAACAAATCAAAAGAGTGAGAAAACAAAATGATAACAGTAACACACAGCAACTAAGAAAAAAAATGAATTTTCATTGAATAATCTGAATTGGAGAATTTTCATATTCAAAATAAAAGAATATAGAAAATCCCATTAATTTAGAGACACCAAGAAAATTCATAACAATAATCTACAAAGAGTAATGTTCCAACAAATTGCAAAAAAAAAAATCATCAATTTCAGATGAAATTACCTTTTTTTTTCTCTGGTACTAATTATCAGCGATTGTGATATTAGTTTTTGAGATCTCTCTGAAACGTTTTTTCTGAAACAAGAAAAAGATGAATACTCTAATTTTTCTCAGCCAGCTATGTTAGTTACTGGAATTACTAGTCTCGTTTTTAGATGGTGGATTATTCATACTACGCAGTTCAAGGAGAGAAAAACACTTGACTACATAAGACTAAAATATCCCTCCCGCGGTAGTAGTAATAACAATGCCCATCGTTTTTTACAGCTCCACAATGGAAAACCTAACTTTTTCGGTACTTAATAATTGTAGACTCTATTCCTTTTAACTCATTATTTTAAGAAAATTACTAAATGAGTCTTACTAATCACCTATAATAAGCCTCACTTTAAATTTTTTAACATTTACAAAAATTAAAATAATAAAGATATAATTTCTTAATTAATTCATCTTACTTCAAACAAATATTATCAAGTATCAACTTATTATTTGATATTCTTTTTAACTTTCATTTTTTTTTTCTTTACTTCTCATTCTTTTTACTCGTCCTTTCTTTTCTTACAATTTTTTGTTAAAATTAATGTGTTATAACCACCACTATCTTTAGAAAGCATTATGAGAGAATTGTAACCATCACATTATAATGATTGTCTTTATTTAGATTTATGGTAGAGTTGTATCATTAAAATTGAGAGAATCAAAGAGTCCTCATCTTGATTAGCAACCTATTTGTATTCTCTATCAGTTTCATTCAAGCCTATATAAAGGCTTTGTAATGCTAAGATTAAAATGTAGAAGTGTTTGGTGAATTAAAAAAAAGAAGAGTTTTTCAATGGTCATCCACCAGTAGAAGTATAGTACAAAAAGTGACGAAAAGTAGTTTTCTCTGCAGAATTCTGCAACACTATAATTTTTCACATACCACCTCTAGAATACCGACAACAGAGTGGTATCGGAGCTGCAGATCCTTGCAGCTGCAGCAAAAATAACAACAGTTATGGCTTCCACAAACAACCCTTCTGTAACTTACAACAATATCAAAGTTCCTCTATTTGAAGGAGAGAACTATGATTTTTAGACTCTTAAAATGGAGACTCTATTCACATCTTTGGATGTTCTAGAGTATGTAAAAAACGACTATGAAGAACCGGCGCCAACAAAGGCTGAAAAATCAAAAGAAAAGGCTGAAGAATCAAGCCAACGACTTGAAGAATTGAAGAAGAAGATCACAGATGCTGGAGTTCTCGGGATGATTCAAAGAGGGGTCTCTCTATCCATCTTCCCAAGGATTATGAGACTAAAACATCAAAAGAAGCCTGGAGTATCCTACAACAAGAGTTCAAAGGAGACTCAAAGGTGCGAACGGTGAAGCTTCAATCTCTTAAGAGAGATTATGAAAATGAAAGGATGAAGGAGAACGAGAGCCTGAACGAATACTTCAACAGACTCTCCGAGTTGGTGAATCAGATGAAGTCACATGGTGATACGATAGAAGATCGCAGAATTGTTGACAAAATTCTGATCAGTTTGACAGCAAGATTTGACCCAATGGTGGGGGTAATAGAAGAAACCAAGGATCTATCAACCTTGACTGTTCAAGGGTTGATGGGGTCTTTGAGATCCTACGAGCAAAGGATGTTACGACATTCTGAAAAATAAATCGAGAGTGCCTTTCAATCTAAACTCAACATTCAGCCCAACAATGGTGAAAATAAGCCCCAAATACAAACTAGAGATGAGTCTTCTAGAGGTGGCGGATTTGGAAGAGGCAGAGGCAGAGGTCGAAACTCACGTGGCAGATCTGGAAGAAGCGCAAATGGCGGAAGATGGAATGGAGCATCAAACAAATGGTGCAAAATTTGTAACAGCGGTACTCATGACGAGAAGGATTGTTGGAACAAAGGTAAACCGCAATGCCACAATTGCAAGAGATTCGGGCACCTTCAAAAGGATTGTCGTCTTGCAAATCAACAACATGCTTCCTACGCAGAAGGAGAATCTGATGAAGGAAATTTATTTTTTGCTTGTCAAAAAGCATTGCATGAAGAAGGTAAAAATGTATGGTATTTGGACAGCGGTTGTAGCAACCATATGACCGGACAGAAGGAAGCATTTATAAACATTGATTCTTCATTTGGCTCAAAAGTTAAATTGGGCAATGGAGAACATGTCGTAGTGAAATGGAAAGGAAGCATTGGAGTCACCACAAAGCAAGGAAGCAAAGTCATACATGACACACTCTATGTACCGGAATTAGACAAAAATTTGCTTAGCATTGGACAACTTCTGGAGCACGGCTATTCTCTAAACTTTGAGAATAACGAGTGCAAAATTTTTGACTCAGAAAGAAGAAGTGTTGCCGTTGTGAAGATGACTAGCAACATGAGCTTTCCACTATCTTTTAACTATGAGAAAAATGTAAGCATGATGGCCAGAGAAGAGAATGACTCGTGTTTATGGCACAAGAGACTTGGGCATTTGAATTACGAAAGCCTCAAGTTACTCTATCAAAAGAAGATGGTGTATGGGCTGCCAAGAATCGAAGAAAAATCTGGTGTGTGCGAAGGTTGTGTGCTTGGCAAATACCACCGGAAACTATTTCCAAAGGAAGGTGCATGGAGAGCTAAACAAGTGTTGGAACTTGTACACACAGATGTGTGTGGCCCTATGAATACTTTGTCTCATGGCAAAAATAGGTACTTTATCTTGTTTATTGACGACTTTACCCGCATAACTTGGGTATATTTCATGAGACAAAAATCTGAAGCGTTTGTAATCTTTAAGAAATTTAAAGCATTAATCGAAAAACAAAGTGGCAGATTTATAAAGATGCTGAGAAGTGATCGAGGGAAGGAGTACACCTCAAATGAATTTCATAAATTTTGTGAAGATGAAGGTGTTGAAAGACAGCTCATTGTTGGATATACACCTCAGCAAAATGGTGTATCCGAAAGAAAGAACCAAACCGTGATGGAGATGGCGAAGTCTATGCTACTTGAGAAAGATTTGCCTAAAACCTTTTGGCCCGAGGCCGTTAACACTGTTGTGTATTTGATGAACAGGTGTCCAACAAAGGCCGTGTGGAAAAAGACTCCATTTGAAGCCTGGAGTGAAAGAACACCGTCGGTGAACCATCTTAAAATTTTTAGGTGTGTTTGCTATGCTCAAATTCCTAAACAAAAGAGGACAAAGTTAGAAGAAACAAGTGAAAGATGTGTCTTTATTGGCTATAGTTCCATGTCAAAGGGCTATAGACTTTACAACTTGAAGACAAACAAGGTGATCATTAGCCGGGATGTTGTATTTGATGAGAACGCTTCTTATAATTGGGAAGAAGACAAAACAAAGGAGAAAACAGTCCCTGCAATCATATTACAACAACAAAACCCAACAGCTGATAATGAGCAACCAGCTCCATGTACACCAAGTTCCTCATCCTCTCCAAGTTCACAAATTTCAAGTTCATCATCTCCCAGCTCAACTCCAATAAAATTGAAGGACTTGAGTGATATTTATGCAAGATGCAACTATTGTGTTATGGAACCAGAAATTTTTGATGAAGCAATCAAAGAAGATGCTTGGAGGAATGCGATGCAAGAAGAAATAAATGCCATTGAGAAAAAGAAAACATGGCAGTTAGTTGAAAATCCAAATGACAAAGAAGCTATTAGAGTAAAGTGGGTGTACAAATTGAAGCATAATCCAGATGGGTCAATTTAAAGAGCCAAGGCTAAATTGGTAGTAAAAGGCTATGCACAACAGCCTGGAATTGACTATAGTGAAACTTTTGCCTCAGTTGCAAGATTGGATACTGTACGAACAATTATTTCATTAGCAGCTCAGAAAGGGTGGAACCTGTACCAACTTGATGTGAAGTTAGCTTTCCTGAATGGAGAATTAAAAGAAGAGGTATATGTGCAACAACCTCAAGGCTTTGTGACTAAAGGCCAAGAGGAAAAAGTTTACAAGTTGAAGAAAGCTCTCTATGGGTTGAAACAAGCCCCGAGAGCATGGTATAGTGAAATTGACAGCTACTTCATTCAACAAGGATTTTAAAGAAGTCAAAGTGAGCATACCTTGTATGTGAAGCATCAAGGTAAAGATGATATCCTTCTTGTTGTCCTTTATGTTGATGATTTGGTGTATACGGGTAACAACAAGAAAATGGTTGAAAATTTTAAAATAGAAATGATGAAAAAATATGAGATGAGTGATCTTGGCTTGCTGCATCATTTTCTTGGTATTGAGGTTTACCAAGATGAATATGGAGTTTTTATTTATCAAAAGAGATATGCTGAAAATATTTTGAAAAAGTTTGGCATGAATGGCTGCAAACCTGTTGATATTCCTTTATTGGTGAATGCAAAATTAAAGAAGGAAGATGGTGGAAGATTAGTAGATGCAAGTATGTATAGAAGTTTGGTTGGAAGCTTGTTTTATCTTACAACTTCAAGGCCCGATTTAATGTTTGCTGCTAGTTTACTCTCAAGGTTTATGAGTAAACCGAGTCACTTACACCTTGGAGCAGCAAAAAGAGTTCTAAGGTATGTCATGGGAACCATGGAACATGGAATCAGGTTTGAAAAGAATTTTAAACTCGAAGTTAAAGGCTACTGTGACAGTGATTGGGCTAGAAGTGTTGATGACATGAAAAGCACTTCCGGTTATGTGTTCAGCCTGGGTTCAGGAGTAATTTCTTGGTGTTCGAAGAAACAAGATACTGTAGCGCAATCTTCAGCTGAAGCAGAATATTTGGCAGCTGGTTTGGCTACACAACAATCATTGTGGTTGAGAAGAATACTTGAAGATATCGGAGAAAAGCAAGAAGAAAGTCTGTTGCTTCACTGTGACAAAAAATCAGCAATAGCCTTGACGAAGAATCCAGTTTTCCACACTCGAACAAGACATATTAATATAAAGCACCACTTCATTCGAAGTGTGATCGAAGATGGTGATGTGCAATTAGTGTTTTGTAATTCACAAGAGCAGCTTGCAGACATTTTTACTAAAGCACTGTCAAGAGGAAGATTTCAGCAACTTAGAGAAGCAATGGGAGTTAAAGAGCAACACATTAAGGGGGAGTGTTAAAATTAATGTGTTGTAACCACCACTATCTTTAGAAAGCATTATGAGAGAATTGTAACCATCACATTATAATGATTGTCTTTATTTAGATTTATGGTAGAGTTGTATCATTAAAATTGAGAGAACCAAAGAGTCTTCATCTTGATTAGCAACATATTTGTATTCTCTATCAGTTTCATTCAAGCCTATATAAAGGCTTTGTAATGCTAAGATTAAAATGTAGAAGTGTTTCGTGAATTAAAAAAAAAAAAGAGTTTTTCAATGATCATCCACCAGTAGAAGTATAGTACAAAAAGTGATGAAAAGTAGTTTTCTCTACAAAATTTTGTAACACTATAATTTTTCACATACCACCTCTAGAATACCGACAATATTTTTCATTTTCATTTTAACTAATATATATATCCGTGCGAAGTACAGGACAAAATTTCTGAAGTTAAAAAAAATATTTTATAATTATTTATAGTTTATAAATGAAGTTATAATGATATTATAATTTGTCATTATTAGTAGTTTTCAAATAAAGTTATAATAATATTATTATAATTTGTCTTTGTTATTGGTAATAGGATATCTGCGCGTTCGCAAGAGTATCGTTATATTACGCGTATTTGAATTGAAAAAAGAAAGAATTAATATTGAGTAAAAATTAGAAATTAAAAAGAAATAATAATAAATTTTAAATTAAAATTTATTGCTAAAATCCCACATACAATTGTTCCATACTTTATGATAATTTTGATTTCTATATGGCATTCATTATATCATTTTTATAGCAAAAAAAAAAGTTATTTTCTTCTTAAACTTGTTGTTATTCCATTATTCAGAAGTGAGTGAGCTCCATTATACTTGAATAAACTGGGGAAAAAATGTTATTTTCTTCTTAAACTTACTGTTAATACAATATTTAAAGCTCCTCCACTGGAGTAAACTGAACACCCTTGGGATGCAAAACTCTATAACTCACAAACACAGACATACAAATTGCTACTACAGAAAGTATAAGTGAAAATGCACTTGCAATATTCCATGAGCTACTTGATCCCGTGCCTACTGACTTGCCACTCAAAGAAGCGGAACTGCTCGATATATCAATCGCAACCCAATCACAGTTAATTGAATAGTGTCCTGAAGCGTGCCATGGTTGACCATCTACTGGATACCAGAATGCGACAGACATCTTGCTTGATCCACTAAGGGTAAATTGCACATCCTGTAAGTTCTAATTTTGTACCGTTTTACTTGTTTGTAATATTCACAGGGATAGATATCACTACAACGCCTTTTAAGACAAATGCACTTGCAATGTTTTAAATACATCACTAAAATTTGTTGAACATTAACATTATATTTGAGAATAATTGTATAATTTATTCACTGCACTTCAGAATGCGGCATATAGGTTTCTAAGTTGTAATATGTCGCAGATGATCCATAGTCCTCAAAGGCCTGGAGAATTCGAAAAAATATGTGCCCTTTTCCATTTTCTGCATAAGGACTCTCATCCTGTACAAAACCTGTTATGGATAAACATATAAGTAGTAATTTAATTTATACCCAAATGATGCAGAATAGCTAACTAAATGATAGGGTAGAAAAAGACAGAGAGTTCATATTGTAGGTGATGCATCTGTGACCAATATTCATACCACATATAGATTGGTGACTTGCAATAGAATTCAAAATATGCTTAAGCATGAAAAGGGTAAATAATAGTAAAAATAATGTTCATCTTAGTTTGGACATTAAAAATTATATATTAATATATCTTTTATAAAACGACTCAAAAGCAAATCCTCCTATTTCTATAACTGATCAAATAAAAAAATTAGATGTTACTTCTGATTGCTTAAATTCACGTAACTTTTTTGTATTATGTTGCAACAAATTAAGAAACTTATCGAACCATTGATAATGAGTTCATTGATGAGATTGTTGTAGTACTTAAGCCCCTTCGGATTGACGGGTCCTCTACCATCTGAGGAGAAATAAAAACATTTGCAAAAATGTAAAAAAAAAAAAAAAACATAAAATTTCAGAGTTGATACGGATAATATGTAGTAAAGGTGAAGTTGAGTAGAAGTACTCGGTATCAATCTGGACCAAGAAATGGAAAATCTATAGGCACCAAGGCCTGTTTAAACCATCAGTTGCACATCTTCATGCATTATTGTACCATTCATACAACTTGTAAGCATTCCGGATTCAATATAGAAGAAAGAGAATACCTGAAACAACAAACATCACTTTCAGATTCAAGCTATTGTTATTTTTTCAAGCTTTCAATCAGTAACAGTTTCAATCCGGTCTCACCACAGCTACACGGTCATTTTCTTCACCAAAGCAATTCTGATCCGGTTCAATTTTTCGAGTTTCAAGTTGTAGGGTTAAAAGGTTACGATCCGTTTTCCACTTCCTTTTTAGGTCACGAAGGCGCTGCACGTGGAGCTATCAGAAACCGCACCGCTGGCGAATCTTTCACCCTCTCGCGTGAGCATGTGTGAAGAATATTTACAGTTCTCACTTACATCTTTTTCGGTGTGAGCATCTCTGACAAAATTGCAATAGTATTCTATTGCCTGTGAAAGGTTGTCACTATTCACAACATCCAATATCCTGCTAAATGTACTTGGAAGTAATTTTGCTGTCTCCAAAAATTCTTGATTTACGAGGGCGGCCTATGCATATCAAAGGAAAAGTCGCGCGTTAGAATGGTAAATTTAGTGTTTGATATCTGAATTATTAGTATTATATATATAATTTTACTATTTTCTTCAATTTTAGTAATTTATGTTTTATTTGTTTTATTTATTTTGTTTATTTTATTTTGTTTTGGATTAAATGTCCATAAGATTCATTAGGATTTCTATGTTTTATGTATTTAAAGATTTTTGATATAGTCATAAGGGTTATAATAAAATTTGAAGTTTTCTTTGTTTCTGGTGGATTTCAGAGTCTTATCTAACCGGTTTTGCGCTTGCAACCCTATTTTCTTTCTAGGTTTAGTGTTTGTTAATTCCTAGGGTTTCTGATTGTGTCAGTTGGCATCAGAGCAGGTTTTCTCATGTTCTTTTTGTAACTTGACAATCATTGCGGATCAACCGACAACCAAAGTAGATTTTGAGGAAATTACCGTGAATTTTACCGCGACTCTAACTGCTTTGACTGAACAGATGGTGAATTTAGCAAATAAGGTGAAGAACGCCAACAACAACGGGAATCAACGAAGAGACGGGAGAGGAAGACATGTTAAGGGTGGAAAACTTTCAGATAATCTAATTTTCGTTCTACATCCACCATCCAGAATGAATCAAACAATGTACCAAACTGGAACAATAAAATCATCAAACCTTCAGAAGTCATCTCCTTTCATTGATTTCTTTTCTCAGGTAAATGTTTCTAATTTATAAAACTTGCAGAAAAGCTTTATACTATGCAAACCTGAGAGTAACATTCCTGAAGTAAAGAAATTGAAGACAATTTCTCTTAAAGAGACAAGGTCTGAAATTGTTAAAGGGATAGCAAAAAATACAGAAGTAAATTATGATGATGATGAATTTGGTAAATATGAAGGAGATGCACATGGGAATTTATGGAATGAGAGTCTCACAATCAATTGCAAAAATCAACTCGAGGATAATGATATTTCTTCTCAATTTGATTCTTGTACTGAAGTGAGTGAAGATTCTTTTCCAATTGCAGTTGCTTTGAAATCTGAGGTGCAATGTCTTTTAAGTGAAAATTAAAGCTATTAACTTTTGATATGCCTGTAAGCAAAGGTGGAAATCATGACATGGATGAAAAGGTGGAACATTTGCAAATCAATGAGGTAAAAAATGAAAATTTTGATACGGATGTTTGCCATGTTTTACATGGTAGGCCTTGGCAATTTAATAATGATATCACTTATTAAGGAAGTGATAATGTGATGAAGTTTACATGGGGAACACATAAAATTACTATAGATCCTGGTTGGCACTTTGATAAGAATCCAAGAGGAATTAAATCTAGTTTCTCGTTGATGACACATAGTGAAAATGAGCTTGATAAGGCTATTAAAGAAACAAAACTTTTATGTCCAGTATTGACTAAAAAGGTGATGAGTGTTGTAAAGGAGAAAACAATTCCAGAAGAAGTGCTAAAGGTCCTAAAATATTTGACCGCATATGAGATACCAAATGATTTCCCTCCTATGTGAAATAAACACATGGAAGTTAAAGTTTCCAATATGGGAGAAGATATAATGGTGTTTCTGTGTAAGGAGGAGTTACTAGTTGGTATAGCAAGCGGCAACTATATGAAACTCTTTATCAAGAAGAGAACACAGGGTCGAGTTCTTTTGAAGTGAATGAGACTGATGTATGAGATCTGTCTGCGCACATCAAAGGAAAAGCCGCGCGTCGGAACAGTTCGGTAGGTTTGTGCAAGTTTTGTGTCCGATGTCATTTAAGTTCATTTTAGATACGAAAACAACATTTTACTATTTTCTTCAATTTTAGCAATTCATGTTTTATATGTTTTATTTATTTAATTTCGTTTTGGATTAAAAGCCCATCAAGATTTCTATGTTTTATGTATTTAAAGACCTTTGACATAGACATAAGGGTTATCTTTCATATAATAAAATTTGAAGTTTTCTTTGTTCCTGGTGGACTCCAGAGTCTTATCTGACAAATTTTGCACTTGCAACCATATTTTCATTCAAGGTTTAGCGCTTGCTAATCCCTAGGGCTTCTGACTGCGTCAGTTCTAATATAACACTTTACCCTGCAAAACAATATAATCCACTACAGTCTCCATTTAACAGAAAATAAATACATTGTACAACCCAAACCAGTAGGCCAAGCTCTTGATAACCTTCAACATATTTGGCTGCCGAGAGTGTCACGCTTCTTTTTATATCAGTCTCGTTGATCTCAAGTTATGCCTGTTGCTGCTATTGAATCTTTTGCACCTGTTTTCTCTGATAGAGACTTCATAACAGAAACAAACAGCACAATAACAAACTAAATGAAACAGAACAATATTCTCGGACTTCATAACAGAAACTAACAACACAGTGACAAATTAAAAAAACAAAATAATACTCTCTCATACGTCATGTTATTCAAAATTTATAAAGAAAACCAAAAAACCACATTGCTTACATTTCATAATTCACATTTTGGGTGATAGTAATAGCAGCCTCGCCCAAGGAAAACATGGTCTTTCTCAAAAGATTGCACATTGTTTCCCATGCACCTTACCCAAATAATATCAAATGATGAAGATAATCATACATAATTTCATAATCACTAAGAAATGGCATGAGTATGAGTATCTCACTGCAGCACCAGATAGGCGACCAAGTATATTCATGCTCTCAGTATTAGACTTCAAGAGAATACCATATATCTATTTGCCTCAACATAACCAATCCCTGGAGAACTTAAAGAAATCCCACTTTTAATTCCATCAAGGTCTTAAAAAAAGTCTTATACCATGAAAACCGCCACAACAAAACAATATCGGAAGGTACCGATACAATGAGTGTTATTCACTATTTTTATGATAAATAATAGATTGTGGCTAATTCACCCCAAAAGACAACTGCAATCAGTATCACAAAACCTAAATCGACCGTTATTTAAAACCATGATCCAATCTTATGCAATCAAGTTAACCCAACGAAATTTCTTATAAATTTATAATCAATAAGCTCTCAAAATCACTTAAGAAAAACACTTGAAGGAAATAGTTTAACATCATTCTCTATACTATTGTTAAAAATCCTTTTTTTCATCCAAATATATATTTTTTCATATCGAGATTGGCAACAATAAGGTAACTCATCAAATCAAGTATGATCCCTTCCAGTAGCTCCACCATACAACCAATTGTGTGAAAAAAGGGAAATTTATAATAGAAGACACAAATTCATGTTACGATAGAACAGTCACAGACGACACCTGATCCATATTACAATATATATTTAAAATTAATTGAATCTATAAATAACCAACTAAGATGAATTATTGTATGGAAAAGAGTAATAATAGGGGAAAAGTTGGATGAGAATATATAGTACAAGAAGAAGGAAATCTCACCAAAATGCTTGACCACAAATACAGCTAACCAAATTACAACCACCATTCTTCTCTCACAAAAATGTATGAACACTTATCCAATTAACAGTTTCTTATTCATCCCGACACTTCTTTTCCCAAAGCTCCCACATCAAACATGAACAGGGTAAACTCGTGAGCATCCTCTTGACGATCGCAATGGAAGTGCTCGGCAAAGACACGTAGACAACTTTGGATCTTTGAAGGAGCGTGGAATGTGAGATCCACACGGAGTAACCAAGCAGTTTGTTTCTCGAGTATGCAGAACGGAAACGAAGAACCCGAAGAATCACCTGAAAAAGATGAAAATCATGTTAGGTCATAGAAATTGCAGAAATTACATAAATTACAGAAAATGAAAAGTTGCTACAGAGAGATGAATGTTGAGAATGAAGAGAGAAATTGGCGAGAGGATGAGTGAAAGTGGGGCTTTGTTTCTCAGGACAGCAAAAGGAAGAAGATAAGTCGGAAGAGAGAGAGGGGAAGCGGGAAGAAGGAAGACGAAGAAGAAAAAAGATCGATAGATAGAGAAAGATAGAAAGGATGAGTAGGGTTAACATTAGATTTGAGTTGGGAAATTAAACAATTTTTTTGAAAACAATTGAAACATTTTTGGGAAATCAAACAGTTTTCTTTGTAATTTCCTATGGCCCAGAAAAAAAATGTGAAACGTCACCCACGAATCAGAGTCTTGATATTAATGAGACAAATTAAAAAATTAAAAAATATAATAGTAATACAATTAAAGGAAGTTTCCATTTATAGCTAAAATATAAATAGAAGATGGGCTGAGAGTTGGTGTCATACTTGCTCAAATACTTGTATTATTATATTGTATAGATTTTCTCTCTATCTCTCTCTCCATTTTCTCAATACCATTATAATTTAGGGTTAAATGTCTTCTATCCCTCTGCAATAGTAGCAAGATTTGATTTATTCCCCTTTAAAAAAAATTGGTTCGCCCCTCAACAAACATAGATTTCATAACCAAAAATATTTTAGTCTAAGATTCCATTTGAAATGCAGATGTGGCCAAGATCTGTTTGCTGACTGGGCTTCAAACAAAGAAATGGTGACATGGAATTTTTGTTTTAGCAATGTAAAATGAAAACAAAGAAATATTCTCAAAATTTGAAGTTACATGGGATTCGAACCCATGAACACTTGGGTGTTCTAACATTCTTCCAACCACTCGACAAACTATTGTTTGTTGAACATGTTTACCACAAAATCAATTAATAATAAAGTCAGTTAATTATAACAACTTAGAAAATTCCATCCGCATCTTCTTCCCCAATTTGAAGAGCTTCATCTTTACATTAACTATTGTTGTGTACTGTTGTGTATTGTTGATTGAAATAAATTAACACTCGACCAAACATGTTATACTAAAGCCTGAGATAAGAGAAGACTAAATACTTTCAGGTTTCATTTTCAAGGAGTTAATGTTGGAGGTATTTCAAAGTTGCATATGTAAAATTACAGGTGTAATTTTGTGCGAGAAGAAGATGGAAAGTCGATGTTTGAATTTGAAGGATGTTGAATCAGACTGTGACGGTTGAACGAAAAACAAACATTGAGCGATGAAGGGAGTATGAATCAGAAAGCGCAGGCGGCGGGAGAGTAGTATTGTTGAACAAAAATTGAGGAAGGTTGATTCGCTAAAGATGATAATAGAGATATGGGGAGTATTGTTGTTAAAGGTGAGTTGATATGTTAACAAAGGGAAGATGGTGGTTTATGGAGGTAATACGGAAGGTGTGAAGGTGATGGTCGATGATGAACATGATTAAGATGTTGAATAGAGAGAGACATCGTGGAATATGGGTTATGGTATGTGTTGTACCCCAAAATTTTCCCTCTCATGTTTTCCAAGATTTTTTTCTTATATGGGTAGTCACAAAGCATCTGATTAAAGGAAAAATAAATTTTTGAACAAGGAGTCTTCGATTGGCATCTTGGCTAAGTCTTTCGATTGGCATGTTAAAAGGCCTTTCGATTGGTATTTGGACAGGCTTCGTTTGAGCGCCTAATCTCCTCTAAGTTTGCCTCAAATTTTCAAGCTTCGATTGAAGCCTTAGTCTTTTGATTTGTTTGTTGCACACCAGCTTCGACTGGGCATGTATTTCCTTGGAAACAACTTCCTTCATTTCCGAAAGGAAGGGCCTCTTGTTAGTGCTCCTTCGATTGCACCACTATCTTTGCATGTTGGCTTAACTCACAAATGCAATGGCTACCTGCATGAAAGCTGGATCCCTGCTTCGATTGGGCATTTTCTCTCCTTGGAGCAAGCTTGCTTCCTGCTTCTACTAGGCAAATTATCCCTTTGGGCGTGCCTTCAGCGCACAAAGCAAGAACTTCTCCAAACTGGCCTTCGATTCACAAAGCTCCCACTGGGCAAAAGACCCCTTAGTGTGTCACCATCTCACGTATCCCTTCTCAGTTTGTCTTTAGCACAAGGACAAGACTCCTTCAAATTTTCCTTCGACCCACAAGGCACTGGCCAACTTTGTGCCAGCTTCGCCTAGGCAAAAATCTTCTTTTGATTCGCCAGACAAAAAAAAGTTGCCTTCGACCCACAAGGCACTAGTTTCCTTTGTGCCAGCTTCGCCTAGGCAATGGTGACAGTTTAAAAAATTGTACACACTTCAACATGCGTGATATCCATTCGAAGGACACACTTTGGTGGCCCATTCAAAGAGGGCACAAAGCGTACATAAAAAGGGATATCTTTGTATTGACTTTGAGTAAGTATTTTTGTACAATGAGACAAACACTCTAGTAAGAGAATGTCGTCGTAAAAATGAAAATTTGATACAAAGAAAAGATAGCTATGTGAAATAATCCCATGGGGTTCCCATTCTTCTATAGCCTTCATATCTCCGGGCATCTTGTCTATTTGTTGCCTCGTCCTAAGATGATTGAATTGATCAGAACCCTTGAGTTTGTCAGTGGAAGCCAAAAGTTGTCCGTAAAGTGATCCAACGGGACATAGTCATACGCTTTAATTCCCTAACTTTTGCCTGGACCTCCCTTTCGGGTTTTCAGTCCACCGGGAAACCAATTTTTTCCCGAGTCGCCCTTTCGGGTTTTTAACTTGCCGGGTGTACAAATTTTTTTTGTTTTATCCCTAATTTTTGCCCGAACCTCTTTGGTTCGTCGGGATGCCCTTATTTTGCCTAGGTGTGTCAACCTAGCGGGTCTCTTTACGCGTAGTATCTTTTGACTATGTCTGCGTTCACAGGGTGTGGCAGGTCGTCGCCATCCATGGTGGTTAAGATCATTGCTCCACCAGAGAATATGCTTTTGATTACAAATGGTCCTTCGTATGTAGGAGTCCATTTTCCCCTGGGATCACCTTGAGGAAGTATAATGCACTTGATCACTAAATCCCCAACTTGATACACTTGTCGTCTGACCTTTTTGTTGAAAGCCTTGATCATCCGCTTTTGATACATTTGACCATGACAAACAGCAATAAGCCTTTTCTCATCAATCAAGTTCAGTTGATCAAGCCGAGTCTGGATCCAATCTTCTTCGTTCAGCCCTGCATCCTTCATAATTCTCAGAGAGGGGATCTGGACCTCAATAGGCAAGACAACTTCCATGTCGTACACCAAGGAGTAGGGTGTTGCTCTAGTTGATGTGCGATCTGTGGTACGATACCCGTGGAGAGCGAATGGTAGCTGAAGGGGTGAAAAACACAAGAAGGGGGGGGTTGAATTGTAAAACTGGAAACTTAAAGCAAATGACAAGGTATTTTTATCCTGGTTCGTTTGATCTCAAACTACTCCAGTCCACCCGTTCAAGGTGATTTCGCCTCTCTCCAACGAGGTCTTAATTCACTATATTCAACTGAATACAAATCTGCTTTAGCAACTGCTAAAACCTTCTTGATTCAAACCACAATCCGGTTTGTCAAGGCAACACTTTCTTACAAAGGAATGAACAAGTGTGTATGAATGTTTTCTACAAAAACTATATCACAACTGTGATGTTTACACAAATGAAGCTTAGAATACTAAGATGCTAAACGCTAATAGAGTATCAGAGTTTGGCGGTTTAGCAAAACTTGTAGAGTGAAGATTACTGTTCAGCTTTGTGCGTGTAGAGAGTTTGGAAGCATTAGCCGTGATAATCTTCAAAGCTTGGTTTATATAGCACTTTGAGAAGATGAACGTTGAAGCAAATATTCTTGATTCAATGCTATTAACAAGCTTTTCCTTTTTGAGCAGATCTTGTCTAGAATGATGCCGTTGGTATTGATTAGCTTTCAATGCACAGTACCGTTGCTTCTTCAATGCACGATCTGGCTTGGCTCATTCTGATTCTGCTTCGCTGCTGATGAACTAATTTGTTTCTGTATCAGAGTGTTTTACGCGCAGTTCTGTTCATCAAGCTTCAGCATGTGCAAGCGTTGATCATCTGATCTTGACGTTCTGATTCAGCAACTTCTGATGCTGATGTGCAAACTCATATTCTGATGCTGAAAACGTGATCTTGCTTATTTTAATCAGCATATCTGCAAGTCAGAGCATAGTAATTTTAGGCAGCATATAATTCAATCATAAAATATTTAACTACTATATCTTTTCACTTTGTTATCATCAAAACTTAAATATAGGGTACTAGATTCAAACATTGTTCTAACAATCTCCCCCTTTTTGATGATGACAAAAACTATATATTTTAAATGAAAAATAACGTGAAAAGTTATCAGATCTATGTATCAGAATAAGAAGTACGGAGAAGTCAGAGTTAAGAGATACTCCCCCTGAGTTTGTTATTTCCCTTTGATATGTGTGTTCTTCAGAGTCAGATCTTTTTCTATCTTTGAGCATCAGATTATAAGTCTTTGACTTATCAGAGAGCAGAGCTTCAGAGCTTTTCCTGTCAGAGCTTTGCTTCGGATCAGAGTGTTAGGTCGATCAGATCTTCATATATCAGAACTTCATATTTGATCAGAGCAACATGAGCTTTTATATTTTGATCAGAGCTACTAGTTCTTAGTCTTCATAGTGTTCAGAGCTTCCTTGTGCCTGTAGACTTAACAACAAAACAGAAAAACATTTCAAGTAATAGAGTTAGAATGTTTGAGAATTTCTGTCTAGTTAGCCGTTATTGATTTTAAATATCATTCTTGTTCTCCCCCTTTTTGTCAGCAATCAAAAAGTGTTAGTGATGTGCTAAAACAATTTAGATCAGAAAAACAAATTATATTAAAAATAGTTCAGAGGAAAGAACATTACACAAGCATAGTCAAAACATAGTCAAAAGATTAAGAGATTATTGTTAGAAAAATTCTTAAGAGATTATGAGTAAGCGTAAAGATTAAGAATGAAGAGTAATGTGCTTAAATAGAATTTTCAAAAATTATTTTGAAAAATAAAACGTTTTTAAGAGAGAGAGAAAAATAATGATTGCCATTAACAAGCGTGATTACTTTTGCATTTAATGCTTGCTGATTTTGGGGGATTTGAGAAAGATACTTAAAAACGGTTACCAGACATGTGTCTCAATGCACCCAATCAGCGCTTTGCCTTCTCAGAAACGTGCACGC